TTCAGTACTGACCTTGCCTGTGTCTGTTGTCAGACCTCTGTCTCCTTGCCACCTCTCAGTTTCAGCCAGAGGTTGACATTTACTTCTCCCAGCTTCCACGTAGCTGACAAAAGCCAGGGAGGACCCGAGATGACTGTCCTCTCACATCCCAGCACGTAATTAACCAGGGAGGAAGAGGCCTCCAGGAAGGTCACGCAGGTGACTGGGGAGTCCCCTGACACCAGACCAAAAACAGCCCGTCGAAGTCCCCAGCCTCCAAAAATGAAATCACCCTTAGGGAGACCCAGAGCCCAAGTCCTTCAAACCCCAGCAGTCAGGACCCCGAGCGTTCTAGAATTCTTTCTCATCAGCAGGGATCCACTGTAGCCAAGTCCGCGTTTCAAATGGCAGGAGCAAGCAACCACTTTTCTCCATTCTCTGTGTGGCTTACAGGGAAACCCACTTAGGCAAGGTGTTTCATTGTATTCAAACGGATAAGAAAAAAGAGTGGGAAGGAAGGAAAGGTTGGCTTGTCCTCTTTATAAAGTCAAACAAACAGAGAAAACATAGGAGAAGAAATAAGCCATTCCTGTTTTAAAGCCAGGGGGAGAGGTCAAGGATCACACAACTGCTTGGAAGAGGGAAAAAACTGTCATTCCTCAACTAAATTATTAAATTATAGAATTTAATAAGGATAATAACATCATAGTAATTCAGAAACAGCTGCTACCATACTAAACATTTAATGAGTTCCCCACATGCCCGGCACTGTGTGAAACGCTCTCCATGCATGCTCTCAATCCTCCTGACAGCCCGGAAGGAGAGTGCCCCAAGTTCACCGGTGGAGGAACCGAAGCTTGGTGAACTTACGCAATTTATATAAGGTCATACAACTAGCAAATGATAGAGCTGGCCCTTGAAGCTGGCTAGGTCGGCCTCTAGAGCCTGTGCTCTTCCCCATTATGCCCTCTTGCCCCCTCAAAATGGAAGTGCCCCCACTCCCCCAGAAGGGCCAAGGATGCTGACCACAAACCTGCCCTTGCCTCTCCCACCATTGTTCTTCCAGGAGCCTTGTCGGATGTGCCTGAAGAAAGGATTCTCTCCCCAGTTCCTCAAACCTCACCATGACCCTTCCCCTCTTCAGAGGAAAGATAATAAGCCCCACACGATAGCTGTTAATATTAACATTAGCACCAACACCATGGGTGTTTATTTCTTCTCCAGAAATAAAACATACCATTCTCAGAAAGTGGGAATCTTCTTTATTGGAGACAATCTAGATAACTCAATTTCCCATGCAGCTTGATGCCAAACAAACAAATGGATATAGTCTAGGAATCCGAGGAAGAAATTGTTGGCTTTGCCTAGAACACTTTCCCCTGCATGGCCGGAACTTGACCCAAAAGCAATACCCTTTTATATTGTTGAGGTACTTTGCAAGATGAGATGGGATTTTGACTGCCGTCTTCTTTAAGGACTTAAAATTAGTAAGCAAGAGAGAGAGAGTTGGGAGCTAATACGCTTACGGTAGCATCGAAGAAAGAAAAATAGGTTAAAAATTATGAAATGTTTGCAACCTGAAATGAACAGTGCATTTGGAGAATGTAAAGTTTAAGCAGAAATGAGAGCAAAAGCCATAGGAGCCCTGGTGGCCTCTGCATGGCCGAGTAGATGACCATTAGATGGACATCTGGTACCCAAAAAAGGTCAGTGTTAGCTTTGATGTTGCTTTCTCAGCATTGTTCTTCCACAGAACAAATCTAGTCCTTCGTGCTGCTGGGAGTTTCCAGGATTACAGTCTGGAGGTCTGTCTAATTATAAAGAAGGAAGGGAAGAAGCCAAGGAGGGAGGACCAAAAGGAAGACTGACAGAAAGAGGAAGAAAGGAGAAAAAAGTGGAAAAACAAAAACTCGGACTCCGAGTTAAACGTAGCAGCGATGAGTCAAATCTGCATAACAGCAACAAAAAGACTTTCAAGTTTCCAGGTGTGAGGCTTTATGAAATCGAGATATTAAAAAATATAAAAACAAAAATATCGGAGAGCATACAGGAATTCTTGGTATCAGAATCTGATCTGTAATTCAGAGGATAATAATAACGATGTTTAAGGCCACAGGAAAGAGTGGAAGAGCGAGATAACACAGGTTATTATTTTGAATGGTACTTGTGCTATCGAGGTAAACTAAATAGCAGTTTTCCAATTTCTGGTTTGCATAATAATAGCCGTCATCTGTTGAGTGCCTCGTGTACCCGTCTCTGTGCTAAACACTATTTGTAATACTCTATTTGACTAAATCTTCCCAACAGGTGTACCAGATAACTATAATTATCCTCATTCATACGTGAGAAAACTGAAAATGAGAGAGGGTAAGTCGCTCAAAGATACACAAGTAGTAAGAGGCAGAGTGGCTCATGAGTGCCAGCCCCATGTGGCTAGATTACTCTCAAACCTGCTCGGTCATGAGAATCACCATCACCACCACCAGCATCCAAACAATGCCTGTTGAGCAGTTTCCATAGAGTTTCACTTCTAATACCCCCCCACAAGCCCTTGAGGTGGTAACTCTTGTTATTCCCATTTTACAGAAAGGGAAACTGAGGCTCAAAGTGGTTAAATAGCGCCCACGTTCACCTAGCTAGTATGGTGGTGGAGTTGGGATATGAACTCAGACAAGCTGACCTCATAGGCCAAACCACTGCATGCTTCAGTATTCCATATGTTTCAGAAATACGATACTTTAAAACATTCCTGTACAAATAACACAGAACTAGCGTTTCAGTGAATGTAAATGAACCGCTTGCTCTACTGCACTCTGAACATGAGAATTAGCATCGAAATCAGCTCAAATTCGGTTACAGGTCATTTCATGCAGAGACCTGTTCGTTGTGTTTTGTTTCCATGTTCGCATTTTGGTGAAAAAAATGCTGCAATGACTTAATCGTGATAAATCACACTAATAGTCTATTGGAGTTAGAAATCAACAAAAGAGCTGATGGTTTTACTATCTTCCTAAAGCAACAGTGAACTAACAAATTAAAAGAAATATTCTAAACAGAAAACAGTAAAGGAGGTGCCTCGAAACCCTTCCCTTCTACAGGCTTTGAGGTGGATGTATCTGTGCGGACACAAACAACCTGGGCCAGGAGGTCTTGGTAACTGATTGGGATTTCAGGTATATTTGTCTGGGAACAAACTGGAAAAATAATAAACTTTGAAGAACTCGGCTTCCCTCTCCTTTTCGACTTGCTCCCTGCACTTACACTTTCACAATACCTTGGCTACGTTATAGGTATTTATCGAACTGAGAGGTCCTCTAGAAAGGCCACATTTTATGAAACATGAATTAGTCTGGATGAGCCAGGCTGTGCTACATTAAAACATGAGTCATTGACTTACTCTACAAGGTTTAATTTCTTGCTCACACAGAGTGCCATGTCAATTGAGCAACTCCCCGGAGCATCTGTCCTTCGTTTGGGGATGTCAGTCATCGTGGACAGTCACCCAGGCTGCTTCCATGGAATGGCTTCTCTATCTCAGCACTTGGCTTTCAAGCTCACAACAGCAGAAGGAGGGGAAGAGAGGGAGCCGGAGGATCACACGCAGGCTCTTAAATGCTTTGGCTTAGCATTGCACAATACTACTTCGCTGCCAGTTCATCAGCCAGCATGGCACTCACGGGAAGGAGGGTCCAGAAATATAGGGGAGCACGTGAATGTCTAGTGAGGAAGAAATGTCTGACACAGAGCATTATATACACATTTCCCTATTGGTACCATCACCACCACCACTACTACTATTACTACTACCATTTATTTATCACAACTGAAGTTTGTTTTATTCTTTTTTTTTTTTAAAGAACAAACTTTGGGCCTCATTAATCAATTCCACTGAGAATATTTTGCTCCACTAATTTTGCTTTTATATGTAATCTTCTGCAAACTCATCCACTCTTTAGGACTTACTTTTGTTGTGCCTTTTGTATCTTCTTAAGCTGGGTACTTTATGTTCAAGTTTTTGTGGTTTCTAATCACCTGTAGGCTATGAATTTCCCTCTGAATGCCACTTTGGCTGCTTTCTGTGGCTTTGATACATACTACTATCATTGTGGTTTCATTCTGAATATTTTGCAATTTCACCCTGACTCCCTCTTCATCCCAAAAATGAATTATTTAGGAATGTGCTTTGTTAATTCCCAAATGTATAGATTTTGAATGACTCTCTTGTTAATTTATAATTGCATTACATTGTAATTAACATAACATAATAAAATTTAAAAAATCAATAAATAACATGGTACCACCTATATGATAAGAAAAAAAAAACGCTTAATAGGTCATTTCTTTTGTAGCATATTAGTGCTATATTTATCTCACTCCCTAAAGCAAGGTGAAGAATTACATTGGGAGCTTTCACCAAAAAGTCTACAGCCAAATGCTTCTTCAGACTACTGAGTCATCAGGATTTCCAGGGGCAGGTCTAGGCATTGCATTTTCACCTGCCCCTTCAACTACATGCACTGCATTGAAAACCTCTGCTCCAACTATTATGTAGATCTGGAGTTTGAGGAATTGAGAGATTAGAAAAAGATGGCAGGTGGCACAGATTGTGTTGTAGCAGAGAGGAAGAATTCTTCTCAGTCATATTAAGTAACTGTTCATCACTGTATCTCCCTTATCATTGCATACACAGCTCCTGGCACAGAAAGGGCACTAATAAATGTGGATGATTAGATTCATCAAGTTACTTACGCAACTAGGAGCATTACACAATGACAGCTAAAGGTCTGTATAACAGAAATAAAACCTTATTTCATCTTCTGAACCATCAGTCACTTGAGACAAGGTGTGACAAGTTTTACATTATTTTTGTATCTTCTCCTCATACACAATGTCGAACACGTAGTAAACACTTCATAAATACGTCTTAAATGTGTATTCCTTTTTCTACCACTGCTGGGACAAATTGTCACAAACTCAGTGGCCTAAGACAACACAAATGTATTACCTCAGAGTTCTGGAAGTCAGAAGTTTGAAATGGGTCTCACTGGGCCAAGCAAGGTGTCAGCCTTCCTTTGTGGAGACTGTAGAAGAGATTGTTTTTCTTGCCTGTTCCAGCTGCTAGAGGCTGTATGTTCCTTAACTGGTGAGTCCCCTCCATCTTCAAAGTCATCAAAGGCAGGTCTTTCTCACAGGGCCATTTCTCGGTTTCTGACTTGCCTCTGCCTTGTTCCCTTAAGGAATCTTGGGATTACATTTGGCCTACCAGATAATCCAGGATAATCTCATTCTTTTAAGGCCAGCTGATTAGCAACTTTAATTCCATCTGCAACCTTAAATCCTCTTGCCATGTAATATAACAAATACACTGTTTCTGGTGATTAGGACATGCATCCCTTTGTGGGGGGCATTATTTTGTCTACCACAACATGTAAAACAAAACAAAACAAAAACAGGAAGAACAAAGGAAGAAATAACAGTGAATGGACAAAATGGAGTGGTAACATTAATACCAGTAATAATAGTAATAAGTAACAAGATTCTGGAACAAAGCAAAAAAAAAAAAATTTGTCTATTCAATGCTACAAGCCAATTTCAAGTGAGCGGGTACACACACACACTCACAAACACACTAATATCCTGGCTAACTGATACCACAGCTAGGATATAACCATTTCCTAATTAGACAAACTAAACAAGAAAGGAATGACCTTTTGTTATATACAGAACTTTTCTAGAAAAAGTTCTTGGGCCCCTGGGTGGTTCAGTCGGTTAAGCATCTGCCTTCAGCTCAGGTCATGATCCCAGGATCCTGGGACTGAGTCCTGCATCGGGCTCCCAGCTCAGCCGGGGGTCTGCTTCTCCCTCTGCCCCTCCCTGCCATTCATGCACTCTCTCTCTCACACACAAAAATAAATAATATCTTTTTCTTAAAGAGTTCTCAAATTCCTTTCTTCCTGAAAAAGAGATTATTTTCTTGCCCCTTCCATTCCAGCTCACCTCTAACATTTCTGGAAAATTTCCAGGAGGATGCATAAAAGTCTCCACATTTGCCTACCTACCTTAACCCATCACTGTACAAGGACGGCTAGTGACTGTCCCAGGGCACTCATGAAATGGAGAACTGCTGGCCTGAATTAGAGGAGGAGGCTCTTATGCAGAGAGCTAGAGAAATCATTCTGTATGGTTACCCAACCAGTTTGCTGGAGGAAATTTTGTGGCTAAAACTCCATGGAAACCAGTTGTGTGGACAGTGATGTTCCCCAGAGATTTTAGAATCAACTTTTTCATCATTTGAAACCTACATATTGGGAAATTTCTCCAAAATATTGCGTAAAAGAACAATCATACTGAATCAATACTGCATGAAAAGATATAACAGCATAAAATAAATTCTTTATTACTATGCCTTGTCAAGAAGACTCTGAATGTGATTTTAACAATTCTTTCTGGCTGGGAACCTCCGTTATTTTCCTGTTCCACGGAGTAGGTGGAAGGAATACCAGTATTCTTTTACATGTTTGGGACATTTTTAAAAAGGTTTTGGGTTATTGTTTCTGCTATTTTGTTTTTGTTACTGTCAGTGGTCCCTTTTTTGATTTGAGTTGGCAGTGTGGCTTCCTTTAGCAGCTTCCTTCCCCTTCTCGTTTGTGGAAATAGTAACTAGGATACCAAGCTAGTTAGAATTGTAAGTAAAATGAGGTTAAACAGGCTCCTAACAAAGCTCTCTCTTGCAAGTGTATGAGATTTCAGACCAAACCAGAGTGACATCGCACACAGGGCTGCCCAGTCCAGCTGGAATTTGTAACTCTTTGACATCTATTTGGCTACTCAGAAGTTATTTTTACCTCTTTTCTATTTTTGTTCTGAATAGGTTAGTGTGAAATAGTTATGTTTTGGCAAGATGAAATATTGCTATATTTTTCAATGTGCCAAAGCCTTGAAATGGGATAAAAGTTCCTCAGTTCTGGGACCGGGAGATGGGAGAGGGAAGCCATGCCTCTTTCAATGTTTATGACAACTTGATATAAAACCAGGACCTCAGTCTAAATACCCATTAATAGAATAGGCAAGTGTGGCTCATCTGTATAACGATGCGGCTATGAACTTTGTATGCCATATACACATTCACTGACTGGAAAATATGTCCATTGTCATTCTGTTTAGTTAGGGGAGGAGGGAGCACGCTGAAGGAAGAATGTTTCCCTCTTTGTGCCCCAGCACACAGTCCTGAGATAGATTTCATAAGGCCCCTCAGGAGGTGCTAGCAGGTCGCCCACAGCACCATCCCACACAGTAACGCTTCCTCATGTTGATTGTCCCTCTTTCCCGGATTCATTCCCTCAGTCCTAACTCCCGCTCCCTGCCATCACCTCCCCAGGGCCACTGCACAACAGCCTGTGTCTCAGGTTTTGCTTTTGAGAAAAGCCAGGTAAAGAAAGACGCTGTCAAATTAAGAACATGATGCGTAGAGCTGCTGTACCCATCTTGCAACCCTCAGGGGAAGACCAAGAGAATGGCCAAGAAACTGATGCAGAAGCATGGCGTCACTGGGCTTTAGAACAACGCGTACCTCTAGTCATCTTGTTCCATGAAAAAAACAAATCTCTATTAAGTCACTCACAGTTGAGTTGGGGTTTCTGTTATCTGCAGACAAAAGTACTTTAAATGATACTCGCGGCCAGTCAATGTCCTTCTTGGGAATGCTCTATTTAGAGCTAAAGGCAAGGGAAAAGCCCTCTGTGTGTGGAAGCCTGGAGTTGGGAGCCAGGCAGCCTCTGTGAACCAGAGTTCCAGCTTGTGGAGTATGCTGGTCTGCGAGAAGCAGAGAGAAAGACAGAGACACTGAGTCCTGTGGTTTAAATTCTTCTGCCAGTGAATTCCTCTTTTTGCCAAAAATGGTTGATTACAGAGTTTCTATCACTTGCAAACAGAAGTCCCACCTAATTTAAGTGTGAGCTCATTCTTGTTTCAAAAAAAAAGGGAGTGTACCCTATAAGCATATGTTCATCTAAGCCTGCAAAAAAATGTGTATAGATGTACTCACAGCGACCAGTAATCATTGCTCTGGGACTTAGAATAGAGGTGAATAAGGACATACGTTATCATTTTTACTTTGTAAACTTCTCAGTGTTTAAACTTGTTATTATCAGCTTGTATCATTTGCACAATTTTAAAAGACTAAAAACTTCAGAAACTGTGAGAAAATAAGTGTGTGTTGGTTTGTGCTGTTAAATTTGAGATATATGATAATTGGAAACTAATAGACATGATTCACTACAAACCTGAGAACCACTGCTTACAAATGGCCCAACAAACCTCACACAGACAACCACAGATTCTAACACCACATAAAACTGGCAACAATGTGCCCAGTAAGGGACTGATGCTGGGAAGTTGTCGCCAGTCGACCTGTGAGCATAGCCCCCAACCCCAAACACATACATAATTTCATTATTTCTCCCCAAATAAGTCCACAATGTAAGTTTAAAAACAACAATAACATAAAATAGCATTTTGCTATACATATAAAAGCAGGTTCATCCACTCACCCCTTTCCAGTCCAATGTATTTCTAGACAGAAAAATCTAAAGCTGGGGCACCTGGGTGGCTCAGTCTGTTGAGCATCTGCCTTCCGCTCAGGTCATGATCCCAGGGTCCTAGGATCGAGCCCGGCTTCAGGCTCCCTGCTCAGCAGGGAGTCTGCTTCTCCCTCTCCCTGCTCATGCTTTCTTACTCATTCTCTCTCTCTTTGTCTCAAATAAATAAAATTTTAAAAATAAAAATTTAAAAGAAAAATCTAGAGCTGCCACAGCTCCATGAGTCTGTGCAAGTAGCCTGGAGTGTTCCCGGAGGTGGGAAGTATGCCAGGCCAACTTAAACACCCAGGCTGGTGGGATGCAGCCAGGACCAGAAAGGATGGGGTCATGGGAAACCGATACAGCTGGGTCAGCCACAAGCCACTTGGTAAATGGACCAAAGCACATAATTGTAGGGACATGACATTCTTGGGGTGGAGGTGGTGTCAGCAAGCGGAGCACAGACAGCTAAAAGAAAGGCAGGTGACAGTTCTGAGCAATGCCCTAGGACCCCAAATGTCGGCTGGAGGATGCCAGGAAGAGGTTACAGGGAGAGGACCAGCAAGATCTTGTGTGAGGCTAGGGGGCTGGAGACAGCATCTGAAGAGAGGTGAGACCCAGAATTCCAGGCAGGGAGACTGAGGCAGAAATTCAGGGGTATGAATAGCAAGAGCTACACGTGCATACTTAACTCTATGCTGAGTGTTCTGAACTCCTATCTCAATTGTCCCAAAAATCCTGTGAGGAGGGAACTTTATTATCTCCATTTTTCAGATGAAGAAATAAGGTAGACAGTAGTGTGATTTGCTCAAAGTCACACAGCTAGTCTATTAGTCAGCTTAGGCTGCTGTAGCAAATACCACAGACTGGGAGATTTAAAAACAAAAACTTGTTTTCTCAGCATTCTGGAGGCTCAAAGACCAAGATCACAGTGCTTGGCAGGGTTGGTTTCTGGTGAAGCCTCTCTTCCTGACTTGCAGATGGCTGCCTTCTTGCTGTCCTCACACAGCCTTTCTTTTGTGTAGAGAAAGAAAGATCTCTGGCTTCCCTTTCTCTTCTTACAAGGACACGAGTCCTATGAGGTTAGGGACCCCACCCTTATAACCTCAATTAACCTTAGTGACCCTCTTTTTTTTTAAGATTTTATTTATTTATCTGACTGAGAGAGACAGTGAGAGAGGGAACACAAGCAGGGGGAGCGGGAGAGGGAGAAGCAGGCTCCCCGTGGAGCAGGGTGCCCGATGTGGGGCTCGATGTGGGGCTCGATGTGGGGCTCGATGTGGGGCTCGATCCCAGGACCCTGGGACTATGACCTGAGCCGAAGGCAGCCGCTAAACGACTGAGCCACCCAGGCGCCCCACCTTTGTGGCCTTCTTAAAGGCCCTATCTCCCAACGCGGTCACATTGGGAGCTAAGGCTTCAACGGATGAATTTGGAGGAGGGGGAGGAGGGGACACAATTCAGTCTATAAGAGCTAGCCAGTAGCCAACAGTGTGACTCCAGAGCCTAATACTCTTTGTGGGGGTGTATTTTTACATTTTATGGAGGTAAAGTGTAAACACTATAGTTCAGTGATTCTTGAATAAATGCATACATCCCCGTGCCCCACGTTCCTAGCGAGAGTGACACAGCACTCGTGACCAATGTGCTCTCCCCCAAGATCCGCTGACAGGAGATGTTGCTACTGGTAGGAGTCATGGCAGCCGGGAGCCCCTCCTGGCCCCGCAGACACAAGGTTTGCTCCCAGTGAGACTCGATTCCGACCTCTCCCCACTCCCCCCCCCCCCCCCACACACACACAGGGCTCCTTGCCTGGGCCAGTCTTTATCTCTGCCGCTCTGCGCTGGATCCCAGGAGACTGACTCTTGTGAGCGGTGTTTCCCAGGGATTTCGCCGCCTCCCTCTCTGCCTAAGGCAGTGTCTCTGGCATCTCCTCCCTGGCCCCAGCTTTCAGCAGACAC